GCCGCCATATTTTAAAAAAAATAGACCTTTTGATTCAGACTCGGAGAGGAACGTTTGCCTAAATCAAAAAGATTAGCACCACCTGTTACAGAAGGTGGATTATGTCTTTACTCTCTCTTTTTTCTCTCTCTCTCTCTCTCTTCTCTTGCTCCCCCTCTCTGTTCTCTCTCTCTCTCTCTCTCTCTCTCTCTCTCTCTCTCTCTCTGTTCTCTCTCGCTCTCAACCCATCTGTTAACACAGTCCCATAGTCCTATGGTATACATTCAGACTAATATAGGGCCATCAACCTGGTAACTGGACTGGAGGTTGGGTTGCATTAAACACCCATAACCTCATAAGAGTATTTTCCAGTGTACTAGCTCTCTCTCTTTTTAAGCCATGCATCAGTCTAAAGTATCCCCAAATAAGACTCAATAGTCTTCAAACAGGTTTGTTAAGTTCTCCCCGTTCCCAATTGACAGCTGTCTGTAAAACATGTATTTTATTAGTATGTCTGCCTGCATAGCTCTTAGTCTCCCTTCCAGCTACATGTGGTGATATGCAAGAGTGAAGGCCATATAAATGCTAACAACATCACATTGATTTTCCCTGGGTTTTCGGCCTCATCTGACACATCATTCTCAATAACAAGTGAATGGTGTGTGTGTGTGTGTGTGTGTGTGTGTGTGTGTGTGTGTGTGTGTGTGTGTGTGTGTGTGTGTGTGTGTGCGGAAGCGGGTGCGTGCGAAAGTGCGATACCGAGCAACGTACGATGTAGATTTAAACTGTCTCGGGTACAAAATAATGTGAACCAACCATCCCTCTGTGATTGGTCTCCATTAGAGCAGTAAAACAGAAACGGGCCGTAAACATAGACACACTCAGAGGTCGGTCGATTTGGGAACACAAACACATCTAGCTTAACAACGTGAGAGTCTAAAAGTGTCTGTTAAAGAGGGCCACTCTAAATGAAGGCTGTAACAAGTTATCACCCCATCCTTTAGTTCGATCGTGTAGAAGGGTATTGGGATCAGAGAACATTTGGCTCTGATAGTACAAAACTGTATTGACCTTATTGTGCAGTCTAGGTCAGTTACTGTATAAGTAATGTTAAAACCAGTGTACCTACAGTGAGGGAAAAAACGTTTTTGATCCCTTGCTGATTTTGTACGTTTGCCCACTGACAAAGAAATGATCAGTCTATCATTTTAATGGTAGGTTTATTTGAACAGTGAGAGACAGAATAACAACATTAAAATCCAGAAAAACGCATGTCAAAAATGTTATAAATTTATTAGCATTTTAATGAGGGAAATAAGTATTTGACCCCCTCTCAATCAGAAAGATTTCTGGCTCCCAGGTGTCTTTTATACAGGTAACGAGCTGAGATTAGGAGCACACTCTTAAAGGGAGTGCTCCTAATCTCAGTTTGCCACCTGTATAAAAGACACCTGTCCACAGAAGCAATCAATCAATCAGATTCCAAACTCTCCACCATGGCCAAGACCAAAGAGCTCTCCAAGGATGTCAGGGACAAGATTGTAGACCTACACAAGGCTGGAATGGGCTAAAAGACCATCGCCAAGCAGCTTGGTGAGAAGGTGACAACAGTTGGTGCGATTATTCGCAAATGGAAGAAACACAAAAGAACTGTCAATCTCCCTCGGCCTGGGGCTCCATGCAAGATCTCACCTCGTGGAGTTGCAATGATCATGAGAACGGTGAGGAATCAGCCCAGAACTACACAGGATGATCTTGTCAATGATCTCAAGGCAGCTGGGACCATAGTCACCAAGAAAACAATTGGTAACACACTACGCCGTGAAGGACTGAAATCCTGCAGCGCCCGCAAGGTCTCCCTGCTCAAGAAAGCACATATACATGCCCGTCTGAAGTTTGCCAATGAACATATGAATGATTCAGAGGAGAACTGGGTGAAAGTGTTGTGGTCAGATGAGACCAAAATGGAGCTCTTTGGCATCAACTCAACTCGCCGTGTTTGGAGGAGGAGGAATACCGACAAAATAAAATGGAAAAAATGAAAAAATGTATGTAGCAATAGCAGATTGCACCTTTAATATTATACATTGTTGGGATGTCTTTATTAGATATATTCTACATAGTAGGTGCATGTTCATGTTTATATATTTTCTCTACTTAATTGAAACAGGTGTTTTATCTGTGATACAGTAAATTGTTTTATCATATATTCATATTGTTTTATCATATATTCATATTGTTTTATCATATATTCATATTATTTTATCATAGGATGTGATCTTAAGTTACAAATCTTTAACATCATGCATTGTTTGAATCTCTTTTGTTTGTTTATATATTAGAACAGAATTTTTCTTAAACTGTAGACTTGATGGAACATTTGGAATGTTAACAAATAATATGATGTGTGATAGTGAGATAAGCTGTGTGACAGTGAGATAAGCTGTGTGACAGTGAGATAAGCTGTGTGACAGTGAGATAAGCTGTGTGACAGTGAGATAAGCTGTGTGACAGTGATAAGCTGGTGAAGTGAATAAGCTGTGTGATAGTGGATAAGCTGTGTGATAGTGAGATAAGCTGTGTGATAGTGATAGCTGTGTGACAGTGAGATAAGCTGTGTGACAGTGAGATAAGCTGTGTGACAGTGAGATATAAGCTGTGTGACAGTGAGATAAGCTGTTGTGACAGTGAATAAGCTGTGTGCAGTGAGAACTGTGTGATCAGTGAGATAAGCTGTGTGATCGTGAGATAAGCTGTGTGATAGTGAGATAAGCTGTGTGACAGTGAGATAAGCTGTGTGATAGTGAGATAAGCTGTGTGACAGTGAGATAAGCTGTGTGACAGTGAGATAAGCTGTGTGATAGTGAGATAAGCTGTGTGACAGTGAGATAAGCTGTGTGACAGTGAGATAAGCTGTGTGACAGGAGATAAGCGTGTGGACAGTGAGATAAGCTGTGTGACAGTGAGATAAGCTGTGTGACAGTGAGATAACGCTGGTGTGATAGTGAGATAAGCTGTGTGAAGTGAGATAAGCTGTGTGACAGTGGAGATGAGATAAGCTGTGTGACAGTGAGATAAGCTGTGTGACAGTGAGATAAGCTGTGTGATAGTGAGATACAGCTGTGTGACAGTGAGATAAGCTGTGTGATAGTGAGATAAGCTGTGTGACAGTGAGATAAGCTGTGTGATAGTGAGATAAGCTGTGTGACAGTGAGATAAGCTGTGTGACAGTGAGATAAGCTGTGTGATAGTGAGATAAGCTGTGTGACAGTGAGATAAGCTGTGTGATAGTGAGATAAGCTGTGTGATAGTGAGATAAGCTGTGTGACAGTGAGATAAGCTGTGTGACAGTGAGATAAGCTGTGTGATAGTGAGATAAGCTGTGTGATAGTGAGATAAGCTGTGTGATAGTGAGATAAGCTGTTTTTCCTCAATCATTAGAGACAGTTTTCAGACTTGAGACCAGCTCACTAGAACTTCTGCACATTGACACTAATGAACGATTCAGGTGAAAGTACAAGTTGAAAGCACAGATCAGATTACCACCCTAACGGCTCTGCCTTTCTTTACTGGAATTTAGATTTCAAGAAAGAATCACTCATTCATCAAGAAGGATTTATTTTAATTAAACTGTTATTTTTATTTGACCAAATAAAGGTTTGTTGAAAATGTAAAATTGGTTTGTTATAGTTTGTTCTTATTCCATTTGTATGTTACTCATCAAGTCCCATCTGAACCACTAAACAGATGTCAGCTGTAAGCATGACGTGCTGACCAATGGTTTGCATTTGGAGAAGAGGGAAGTTTTGCATGAATTCACTGTAAATGTCAGAGGAGAGAGCCAAACACCCAATGACAGAGGAGAGGGAGGGCAGAGCACCCAATGACAAAGGAGTTTATGTTGATCTTTGTTCCTTTTTACCATCGCAGCCCAATAATACCCTTGAGAATATTCACATATACACAGGTGCATATTAAAAAATCCCAGGAATTCGTCAAAAAAGTAATAAATAATTCAGAGTGAGCGCTAAGACCGGGGCAGCTGGGTTCCTGCCTGTCTCTGGGATGTACCTCCGGCCCTGTTCCAGTCAAGTGGCTTTACCTGGGAGTGTCAATCCCAATTCAGGCCTCACTCACCTGAATAATTCTTGTAACCATACAACCCTTAGTTTTTGGATGTGAGGAGTTGGGTCCTTTTCTGTACAATTTGGCAATTATGTCTGTCTAGAGGACTTGGTTATCTCCTTTGGATCAAGAGCACCATCACATGCAAATGTTCTGTATAGCTTCTCTAACAGTTTCCTGCTCTGGATCTATCCTACCCCTTATCCAGTGGGATGAATGTCACGTGCACACTTTTGTTTTGAGATGAATAACTAATTCAAACAAATGAGGAACAGTGTAATGTTTAACAGGGGAGATGGAGAGAGAGAGAGTTTCCTTCAAACAACAGGTGAGGCATTTTGGATAGTATAATCGTGTTGGATTTCTAACATACTTTATTGTAGAGAAATGTATGTAAGATTTACAGTGTTTTTTGGTGTACATTTCATATGTAAGTGGTACATTTTCAAAACTCTTGGCAAACAACTCAAATTGTGGAATATCCTCTCTTATGTTCAAAACCTTTCATTGTGCTTTCATTGTCTTTAAAGTCAGGCAGTTTGTGACCATAGGAAGCCTCATCAGTGGATCAACTTTCTTGCCTTTCATTTAACAATATTTTATTTATTTCCAGTTTTTAAGGATCCAGTGTAGAATAATAATCTATGCGTTCCAACCCTTGTTGGCTCTCTTTAAATGTTGAGTTTTTACCCCTACACACTTCCAGTACTTTAAAAAGCTAACCTTCCTTCCAGCGTAATCAGTGATTGTTCATGTCTCTGAACAGCTGATAATCCTCTATGTGGGGAGCACTATCTTCACCTGTCCTATCACGTCATATCAGTAAAGATAGAGAAAGAGAGTTTGCGTTGGTAAAGTTTTGCAACCATAGGGGTCTCTTTGCATGAAATTCTATCATGTATCCTTTGAATTTCACAGTGATGGAAACATTTTTGTATCTCACCCTGCTAATCTTAGGTCAATTCAGCGTGTGTGTATGTGTGTAGGTGTGTGTGCGTGCGTGTGTGTGTGCGTGCGTGCGTGCGTGTTTATTTGTACAACTGGGTGTACAGTATGTGCATGGATGCATAGATAGTGTGGTTGGGGGTGAGGGGTTGCTGGAGAAAATGTCCCTCATGAATCATTATTCTGTTCACAGTGTTCTACACACCTTCCTCATGTCTTCATCAATATCACCTCATTACCAACTCTATGACCTGGACTGATGCGCAGAGTTACTGCAGAGACCAATACACTGACCTGGCCACAGTAGAATACATAGTGGACCTGAACAGGCTGATTACCAGTGCCAATCGTTATAAATACTGGTACTGGATCGGACTGAAGAAAGGAGACTCCATGAAGTGGCACTGGTCTCTGGCAGACAGATGTTTCTACAGAGAGGGGGAGACTGAGATCAGAAACTGGGACACTGGGACACCCACAAATGGCATCTGTGCTTTTATGAGTACAGCTGGGCTGTGGAACAACACCTCCTGTGATGACCAGCATCACTTCATCTGTTATTGTCCCATGTATCTCAGTTGGTAGAGCATGGCGTTTGCAACGCCAGGGTTGTGGGGGCAGTATGAAAGATGTATGCACTCACTAACTGTAAGTCGCTCTGGTTAAGAGCGTCTGATAAATGACTAAAATGTAAAAAATGTAATGATGGTGAATGTTTAATTTGACTAACGATGTAGCCTGTTCTAAGTGCCGGGGCTGCCATTGAGCTGAAACATAGACTTGTGATTGCTTTAAGTTGTTAATCACTTATTGATCTGTTATCAAATCAATGAGAACATGGATTTTCATATTGATTATTACATTTGTCACGAACCGGCTCAAGTTCGTAACAAAAGGGAGACACGTGGAGACAAGGAATACTCAAAGTATATATTTATTAACTAAAGTAAACTAAATCAAATAACAATGGTGTGTGTAATCAGTAATCAGTAGTGTAAGTGAGTGTTTGCATGCATAAATGTAATATGGAGAAGTGTTGAGAGGTGCCAAAGCAAACAACCAAAAAGGCCACAAAAATACCACAACCAAAGTCAAAGTATCTGCCTGGAGAGAGTCTCCTCAATGAATGTGGAAGAGGTCCATTTATGCTGGGACACACCCGGCCCAGGTGTTTCCCATGTAGCTGACGACCCTCCCAACTCCGCCCACCGGCATCCTAATAAGGAAACAAGAGCAAAGAGAGAATACGGCAGACAGAGTGGGAGGGTCGTCACACATTTGACTTTTGCAGGAAAACAAGGCACCAACCTAACATACGTCTTAATTAATGAGAACAAGACCTGGATAGATGCTCAGAGTTACTGTAGACAGCATCACACAGACCTGGTCAGTGTGAGGAACCAGACTGAGAACACAGAGATAGATCAGAAGATAATCACTGAGGGGACTGACTGTGTGGATCGGTCTGTTTCAAGACTACTGGAGATGGTCAGACCAGAGTGACTCCTCATTCAGAAACTGGTGGCCAGGATAGCCTTCAACAGATCATAATAACTACACTGTGGTTTAGGCTTGTCCTTCCTATTCTAATACATGGTGGAATGAGCCCTGTGATAGGTAGGTTACCATATTCTCCACCTGATATTATGATGACAGGAGAACTCTAATGTTGCCCCCATGATTCACTACTGTCATTGTGGGATTTTATTATCTTGTAGGCCCAGCTGTGGAGACCACAACTGCCCCCCTGCCCACACCCACAACCACGACTTCCACCCCGATCATACTCAAGACTGCCTCCCTGACCCCTGAGAAACCTCAACTGAAGAGACAGGTGGTGAGAGTGAAGATGACCCCTAAGGATCAAAATCTGAACCTCAGCAATCCTGCTGTTCAGGACGCCATCTTACAAGAGGTGAGTTTCACCCTGTTCATGAAGAACCAACTCAGTAATGATATAAACTGTAAAGACCTCCTCTCTAGTCTGGGTCCTAGTCTGTTGTGGATGACCTCCTCTCTAGTCTGGGTCCTAGTCTGTTGTGGATGACCTCCTCTCTGGTCTGGGTCCTAGTCTGTTGTGGATGATCTTGGGCCTCCCGAGTGGCACAGCGATCTAAGGCACTGCATCACAGTGCTAGAGGTGTCACTACAGACCCAGGTTCGATCCCGGGCTGTATCACAACCGGCCATGATCGGGAGTCCCATAGGGCGGCGCACAATTGGCCCAGCGTCCTCCGGGTTAGGGGAGGGTTTGGCCGGGGGGGCTTTACAAGTAGGCCTTCATTGTAAATAAGAATTTGTTCTTAACTGACTTGCCTAGTTAAATAAATAAAAATCTCCTCTCTGGTCTGGTCTGGGTCCTAGTCTGTTGTGGATGACCTCTCTGGTCTGGGTCCTAGTCTGTTGTGGATGACCTCCTCTCTGGTCTGGGTCCTAGTCTGTTGTGGATGACCTCCTCTCTGGTCTGGGTCCTAGTCTGTTGTGAATGACCTCCTCTCTGGTCTGGGTCCTAGTCTGTTGTGGATGACCTCCTCTCTGGTCTGGGTCCTAGTCTGTTGTGGATGACCTCCTCTCTGGCCTGGGTCCTAGTCTGTTGTGGATGACCTCTGGTTTGGGTCCTAGTCTGTTGTGGATGACCTCTGGTTTGGGTCCTAGTCTGTTGTGGATGACCCTCTGGTTTGGGTCCTAGTCTGTTGTGGATGACCTCCTCTGGTCTGGGTCCTAGTCTGTTGTGGATGACCTCCTCTCTGGTCTGGGTCCTAGTCTGTTGTGGATGACCTCCTCTCTGGCCTGGGTCCTAGTCTGTTGTGGATGACCTCCTCTCTGGTCTGGGTCCTAGTCTGTTGTGGATGACCTCCTCTCTGGCCTGGGTCCTAGTCTGTTGTGGATGACCTCTGGTTTGGGTCCTAGTCTGTTGTGGATGACCTCTGGTTTGGGTCCTAGTCTGTTGTGGATGACCTCTCTGGTCTGGGTCCTAGTCTGTTGTGAATGACCTCCTCTCTGGTCTGGGTCCTAGTCTGTTGTGGATGACCTCCTCTCTGGCCTGGGTCCTAGTCTGTTGTGGATGACCTCTGGTTTGGGTCCTAGTCTGTTGTGGATGACCTCTGGTTTGGGTCCTAGTCTGTTGTGGATGACCTCTGGTCTGGGTCCTAGTCTGTTGTGGATGACCTCCTCTCTGGCTGGGTCCTAGTCTGTTGTGGATGACCTCTGGTCTGGGTCCTAGTCTGTTGTGGATGACCTCCTCTCTGGTCTGGGTCCTAGTCTGTTGTGGATGACCTCTGGTTTGGGTCCTAGTCTGTTGTGGATGACCTCTGGTTTGGGTCCTAGTCTGTTGTGGATGTGTCTCTCTTCTCATAGAGTCAAAAGGGTTGAAGTCAAGAATGTCTCAGTATAGCAGGAAGGAATGGTAGTTGTAGATCTTCAGAATGACTATTATAAAGTGAAATTGTGTGTGGACGTGTTTAACTATTCTTGTGGGGATCAGAACAAGAAGAAGAAGAAGAAGAAGAATTCTCATTATATTTATCTTTTAGATTTTGATTAATAATCTGTGCTGTTATTTTCTCAACCTAATTAAATGTGTTTTATGAAGTAAATTGTTTAATTATAAACTTTAATACTGTTTTATCATAAGATGTTTTTCTTGATAATTATCTTGACTTGGTTGTTTAATTACAGGGTGTGTTCTCAAGATAGACATTTAACACATGTCTGTAAATGAGTTATCTGTAGATATATTAATAGAAGTATTAATGTTTTTTTCTAATTGGAATGTAACTTTCTTTAATTGAAAATGTATTTAGACTATAGGTTACATATAGCCAATGCAGTCTCAACACTGTTTCGGCTAATGAAGATGTATTTTCTGATAATCAAATAAATATTTGAAGGCATTGAGTTGTGATTCTTCTTATTCTTTTTCAAGTTTCAAGTTTATATTATTTTAAAGTGCATTTTATACATGGTTGCAAAATTTTATACATTTTACCTTAACAATGATCAAAGAACAGCTAGACATCATTTGTAATCAACTCGCCTCTTCAGGACCCATTCACAGGTATCAGTTAGAACCTGTGCTGCGTGTCACATTTTGCATAACTTCCTCATGTGACATCAGTAACAAACCTGGTCCCAGATCTGTTTGTGGCCTCTTGCCAACTCTCATGGTCTAATGTGGTCATGTGTGGCTCAGTTGGTAGAGCATGGTGCTTTCAACGCTAGGATTGTGGGTTTGATTCCCTCTGAGGCCCCCCATATGAAAAATGTATGCATGACCTCTGTAAGTCACTTTTGGATTTAAGGTATACAATGGCATATATTATATTTTATATTATGGTCTATATATTATGGTCATTATCATGATAAACATGACAATGACCATAGGAGTTGCCAGTCAGTGCAACAGATCTGGGACCTGTAGGCTACATAACTACCACACCATACCACAATCCTCCAGGGCCCATATTAATCTAGCGTTGTAGGTGTGCTGATCTAGGATCCGTTTAGCCTTTCAGATCATAATGAATTAAATAACATGGACAGGGGGAAGCTGATCCTACACTCTTAGAAAAAAGGGTTCCAAAAGTGTTGATAACCTTTTTTTCCTTCCAGGTAGAACCCTTTTTGGTTCCAGGTAGAACCCTTTTTGGTTCCAGGTAGAAGCCTCTGTGGAAAAGGTTTGACATGGAACCCAAAATCATTTTTCAAAGGGTTCTCCTATGGGTACAGCCGAAGAACCCTTTTAGGTTCAAGATAGCACTTTTTTTCTAAGAGTATACAAATAGGGCCCAGAGATTTTCAGGTTTTTCATGTGGTCGGGAAAAACTCAGCCCCAGCTCAGACTACTACAATTAGGTTTTAGTGCGTTTGTTGATGATAAGTACAGATTCTAAATCTGTGACTAAATATCACGTTGGCTGGATACCCAGACAGACACAACCTAGGCTTTACCACTTCATTGCTCATAACTGATCTCTGTCCTTCAAATCTCCCTCCTCGGCCACATTTTGACCTCCTCTCCCCTCGGTCCAGCCAGAGACTGATGCGTCCCCTCCCCTCGGTCCAGCCAGAGACTGATGCCTCCCCTCCTCTTGATCCAGCCAGAGACTGATGCGTCCCCTCCCCTCGGTCCAGCCAGAGACTGATTCATCCCCTCCACCCAGTCCAGTTGGAGATTGATGCGTCCGCTCCTTCTTCATTACCCTCCCCTATCACTCCTCTATCAGTCCTCTATCTCTCCTCCACTACCTGCAGCCATGATCAATTCCTCTATGACTTAGCACCAGATCAATCAGTCACTCCCTCCCTCCTTCCTCCATCATCCCAAACTTCAATATCACCCCATTTCCGTCACGCCGCATTGGCATCGCTAATTAGTTATATCGCCCCGGGTACTGAGTACAGTAGATAGGGAATAGGTTTTAGTGAGCTGACCTTGGCTCATGTCTGATGGACGGAGTTTGCAATTTTTTAACTATCCATTGGTTCCATTGTACCTGCCAATTTCTAAGTGTAGCTATTTGCTATTTGAAATACTATTATTTGAACTAAGGTCTGATGCCGAGTGATGGAGATGACCAAATGCAACCTATATTTTCCTCAGTATTACGTTTTTTGGAGGGATAATAGTACAGTGAGGGAAAAAAGTATTTGATCCCCTGCTGATTTTGTACGTTTGCCCACTGACAAAGAAATGATCAGTCTATCATTTTAATGGTAGGTTTATTTGAACAGTGAGAGACAGAATAACAACAAAAAAATCCAGAAAAACGCATGTCAAAAATGTTATAAATTGATTTGCATTTTAATGAGGGAAATAAGTATTTGACCCCCTCTCAATCAGAAAGATTTCTGGCTCCCAGGTGCCTTTTATACAGGTAACGAGCTGAGATTAGGAGCACACTCTTAAAGCGAGTGCTCCTAATCTCAGCTTGTTACCTGTATAAAAGACACCTGTCCACAGAAGCAATCAATCAATCAGATTCCAAACTCTCCACGATGGCCAAGACCAAAGAGCTCTCCAGGGATGTCAGGGACAAGATTGTAGACCTACACAAGGCTGGAATGGGCTACAAGACCATCGCCAAGCAGCTTGGTGAGAAGGTGACAATAGTTGGTGCGATTATTCCCAAATGGAAGAAACACAAAAGAACTGTCAATCTCCCTCGGCCTGGGGCTCCATGTAAGATCTCACCTCGTGGAGTTGCACTGATCATGAGAACGGTGAGGAATCAGCTCAGAACTACATGGGAGGATCTTGTCAATGATCTCAAGGCAGCTGGGACCATAGTCACCAAGAAAACAATTAGTAACACACTACGCTGTGAAGGACTGAAATCCTGCAGCGCCCGCAAGGTCCCCCTGCTCAAGAAAGCACATATACAGGCCCATCTGAAGTTTGCCAATGAACATCTGAATGATTCAGAGGAGAACTGGGTGAAAGTGTTGTGGTCAGATGAGACCAAAATGGAGCTCTTTGGCATCAACTCAACTTGCCGTGTTTGAAGGAGGAGGAATGCTGCCTATGACCCCAAGAACACCATCCCCACCGTCAAACATGGAGGTGGAAACATTATGCTTTGGAGGTGTTTTTCTGCTAAGGGGACAGGACTTCACCGCATCAAAGGGACGATGGACGGGGCCATGTACCATCAAATCTTGGGTGAGAACCTCCTTCCCTCAGCCAGGGCATTGAAAATGGGTCGTGGATGGGTATTCCAGCATGACAATGACCCAAAACACATGGCCAAGGCAACAAAGGAGTGGCTCAAGAAGAAGCACATTAAGGTCCTGGAGTGGCCTAGCCAGTCTCCAGACCTTAATCCCATAGAAAATCTGTGGATGGAGCTGAAGGTTCGAGTTGCCAAACGTCAGCCTCGAAACCTTAATGACTTGGAGAAGATCTGCAAAGAGGAGTGGGACAAAATCCCTCCTGAGATGTGTGCAAACCTGGTGGCCAACTACAAGAAACGTCTGACCTCTGTGATTGCCAACAAGGGTTTTGCCACCATGTACTAAGTCATCTTTTGCAGAGGGGTCAAATACTTATTTCCATCATTAAAATGCAAATCAATTTATAAAAATTTTGACATGCGTTTTTCTGGATTATTTTGTTGCTATTCTGTGTCTCACTGTTCAAATAAACCTACCATTACAATTATAGACTGATAATTTCTTTGTCAGTGGGCAAACGTACAAAATCAGCAGGGGATCAAATACTTTTTTCCCTCACTGTATGTGTTGTGCACTATAAGTGGTACCGTAGGTAGCCAGCGTTTCCCTCCGAGCTAAAGAACCACGGCAATAATGATATCACTGATATCACTGTTCGGGAAGGAAGCCATTGTAGAATGAACAGAGTGCTGGAGAAAATTAAAGGGGGCCGGTTACAATTAGCATGATAATTAGCCCCTCTGTTTGGATCGCCCGCAATCATGCTAGAGCGATTATGACCACCACACAGGGTTAGAACTCACTGCTCACTGCCTGGCAATTGTTAGCACGTTAGCATTCTGCTAAGCAACTGATCCCGCTGAGAAGCGGTGCAGACACGATAGTTTTTTAAGTATTAAAAAAAGGTGCTAAAGGTTGAATTGGACTATACTTTGCCAATTATGTGAATATCACGGCTGATGTACAATTTAGCGCAATTCGCTGCAGAAGGTAGCTAATGAATGACTTCACAATCAAAAAAGTGAACACACTGAGAATACGAAAATGGATGCCCATTACCGCCAGCTCTACCCAAATCGCATGTATTGATTTAATTAAACATAAAGGATCAATTGTATTACTGGGGACTGATAATTATTATAATCTCATTCAAAAAGCTTGATAAAAGCCCAATGCACCAATTGGTCAAGCCTGGTAGAACATGCCCTTAGGTACACAGATCTAGGATCAGTCTATCCTCACTAAATCCTAACCTGAACCATTCAGTGAAAATACAAAACAGACCTCAGAGCAGTATAAGTCCTAGAGGGGCAACTTCATCCTATACCTATTCCCCAAACCAAGGCCCCTTCCCAACCATTGTCCAACTGGTTCTCTCTCTACCCTCTCCCTCCGTCCCTCTCCTCTCCTCTGCAGTGGGGAGAGGCTAAGAGAGGGCAGCCTGGAATTATTTATTAATGGCGGTCTCCCAAAAACTCTGTAAAACATCCCTGTCAAACTCCCGGAGGTGTGCACTGAGCTTCAAAGCAATTAAAGCTGAGCTAAAGAGTAGAAAGAGAGAAGAGGGCTAGCCACAGACCGAGCCCTGGCCTTGCTCATTCATACTATTCATACTCTCCAGACCAGCCTTCATGCCTGGTAGGGCAGGGGGACCTCTGATACCCTCTCCCCAGGTCAGGAACTCCTAGCCTGGGATTAAACCTGCCATGACCCAGGGTGGCTGGAGGAAACCCTCCAGAGGCTCCATGGAACCACATGGTCAATGTGAAAATGGTAAAAACCTTTACCAGGCTTAGTGTGTAGGAAATGTTCAGAAGTTATGCAGATGTAGGATCTTAACCTGATCACCCTGTTGCATGAGAACTTTCCTGCAACGTAGGATAAAAAGTATAATTAACATTTAAAAAGGCTTCTGAAGTTTGTAATATCCACTTATGAAAAATGTATCAACCCCTACAAAAATGTCCATTCATTATAATCCACATGACAATTCAAATTTCCTACTTCTGCAGGATTATTTCCCTGGTGTAGCAAACTGGCTCAAATGAAGGTCCTACATCTGTAGTGTCTCATGATACTGTACAGAGTATTGGGCAAGAAAAGAGATTCAATATAAGGTTGATGAATGGATAGATCTGAGGACAGGTTAATTAGTCTATTAAGTCTTCCCTGTGTTATAGACAAACAGCTAAAAGCTATTCTACTACTGTAGCCAAAGACCCTATAAACCTACAGGAACCAACATACAGATGTAGGATCTTAAATTTGAGCCAGTTTGCTACAGTAGGAAAATAATCCTGCAGCAACAGGAAATGTGAATTATTATGTGGATTATAATGAATAGACATTTTTGTAGAGGTTGACACAAGTCTGAAATTTCAAAGTGGAGATTAAAAACTTTAGAAACTCAACTGCACTACAAATTCTCAAAAGTGTGATCAAATTAAGATTCTACATCTGTAATGCCTAAATCCATCCGTTGGAGGTGTTAGCCGGCTGTCATAAACAGAGTCTAAGTGGTCTTTAATAAACCCATGGTTATACATGTCTCCCAGGCATTTTCCTTTAAAACAACTAAAGAGGTTTTGCTCTTTAGCTCTGCAGCCTAATAAATCTAAATGAAGTGAACTAATCGTAACCGCAACAACGGGTTCACTTAAATTTAAATACCTGTTAACCCTGTGGATAATCGCTTCCCCGTCTTTTCTCTGTCAAAGTCGTCCAACCAACCGCCTCCCACACACACACACACACACACACACCGTCCCTTTCATCCATCTCTCTGGGTGGACAATTATATTCATGTGAGTGATCTGATGGCGTTCCGTGTCCACCATCAAGGTGGCTTACACAACTAAGTAAGCAGAGACACAATGACTATATTTGAGCAAGAAGGCTGTGTTTTCTTTCTTGAGTACTATAAGCAGGAAGCTGGTTGACGCTGCGGATCGAACAAAAAAAAGAGAGAGAGCGTAAAGAGAGGGATGAAGGAGGAAAGAGGGAGAGTGATGAGGAGGAAGAGGGA